CTTGAAACCCTAAAACATCTTGAAACCCTAAGTCTTCCTACAAACCCTAGCCGCCACACCCATAGACACCCATAGACATCCAAATCGATTTTTTTTAAATTTTCCCCACCAAAACCTAGATCCGCTCCTCAAACACCACCATCCACCACCACAACCACCACCACCATCTACCACCACCACCATCACCGAGCGCCGCCATCACGCCATCATCCATGCCCAACACCGTCGCCGCGCATTCCACCATAGATCTGACCTTACACCATCATAGCTGCCGTCTCCTTGCCTCTACAATCATCCGTTTATTGTCGCCGTCTCCACCGCCATAACCACCACCATAACCACCACCATAACCACCGGGCCCTTCAATAGTGGATTGGAGTGGTGGAGAACGAAAGAGACAGAGAGAGATAGTGATATCGAAAAATAGAGAGATAAAGAGTGAGCGAGAGAGAGAGAGAAATAGAGAGAGAGAGAGAGAGAGAGAGAGAGAGAGAGAGAGAGAGAGAGAGAGAGAGAGAGAGAGAGAGAGAGAGAGAGAGAGAGAGAGAGAGAGAGAGAGAGAGAGAGAGAGAGAGAGAGAGAGAGAGAGAGAGCGAGATTGAGAAACAGAGAGAGAGTGAGATTGCGAGAGAGAAGAAAAAAGAAAAATAAATCTGAGAGAAACGTGACTTTAGAATTTATGGATTTAGGTTAAGGGTAAATTAGGGATAAAAGAAAAATTGAGGATGTGGCTCATATTTATTTTTCTAAAAAGGTTTTAGTTCATAAAAAAATGTTAAGATTGCATTCCATATCTATTAATTATGTTTCCAACTAGGGACCTCTAGCATATTACCCCTTATAAATCACATAAGAACCAATAAAATATAAATCGAAAATACACAAATATAAACATATGTAACTACACGTTACTATATGTAACTAGTAATGTATAGTAATATACAGTAATGTATACAGTCTGTTGAACACTGTAACTTGAAGCAGATGTAACTTCAACCAAAATTTTGACACCTTCAAGGATAGGATCAATGACTTTCATTAATCTGCAATAGCAAAATCAAAAAAAATAAATATAGTGCAAATCAACAAAAAATGAAAAATATCATAACACTCAAAAATCAATAAACACTAAGAGATCGAGAGATAAAGAGAGAAAGGCCATATCTGCTAAATGCTACGACTTTTAGACCAAACCACCAATGACTCCTCACCCCAATCGTCTCCTAATACCAAAACCCTAGCCGTTGCTAACCACCTTAGGTTTCGCGCTCACAAATGAAAACAATTATAGAAATAAATCTGACAATATAAAAATGAACAAAATTACCATCAAAATGTAGATCTTGACTAGAGAAATTCAACGGTGGGTAGCCCGTCAAATTCCGACTGACGGAACACAAATCACACTTCCGGCAAGACCCACCGTCGTTGAAATATGCACTGACTGAAAAACAATTGCAGAACAGATCTAGTGCTCCAAACTAAATGAAATCACCACCAAAAGACAGAGCTCGACGAGAGGAATCCAACGATAGTTAAACTATCGAATTTCGACGACCGGGGAGAGAGTTATGACACCGGGAAGCAACTTTACCGGTTGAAAATCCATGGAGACATGATTTGAATCTGAAAGTTGAGAGAGGAAGAGAGAGATGACTGTGAGTGGCTAGGATTTAAAACTGATTTTAAAATGGTATTTTAGGTACTTCAGGGTGGGCGAGGGTGGTCTATCAAATTAATTTCAAAGGGGTTTTTGTGCATAGGTCCCTAACCAAGCATCTTTATTATTCTAGGTTTATGGACTATCCATTTTTCACCAATAAGCCCATCACTTTGATATTTATTATATATAAATGAAACATTCATGTATATGGCAAAACTACTCCCAACCCTTTATACTTAATTCTTAATTGTAACGCCAATTTAATCGCTTTTGACCACAAAAATCCAATTTTGACTTCTTTTTTTTCAAAAAAAAAAGAATTTTGCCGTTGGATTCCGGCGTTGACTTTTCCATTTTTTTTTCCAGGTCTGTTTTTTTCTGCCGCCGGATTTTGGCGTTGATTTTTTTTAGTTTTTTTTTTTGTTTTTTTACGTCCGCCGCTAAACGTTGACCGTAATTGTGCCGTCACTGAAGGTGAATTAACGTAATTATACTGTCAATGACAGTTAATTAACGTAATTGTACTGGCGTTTACAATAAATTTATGTAATTGTTCTGCCGCTGACAGTAAATCAACGTAATATTATGATTTTTTATTTTGTTTAATTTGTTGACAAGTCAACGTAATTATATTACTGTCGTTGACAGTAAAATAAATGTAAACACAATAATATTACTGTCAACAACATCAATATTATTATTTTTTTAGGTTTTTTGTTTTGTTTGAGTTATTCACGGAGTAACGTAATAATATCACTGTCTATTATTGTAATATTACTATAAACACAATAATATTATTGTGGTTGACGGTAATATTACTGTTGTTATAGTAATATTGCTGTCAACCACATCAATATTATTATTTTGTTTGGATTTTTTTTGTTTGTTTGAGTTATTCACGGAGTAACGTAATAATATTACTGTCTATTATTGTAATATTACTGTGGTTGACGGTAATATTACTGTTGTTATAGTAATATTACTGTCACTCACAGTAATATTAATTCTTTTGGTTTTTTATTATGTTTACATTTGTTGAACGGTCAATATAGTAATATTACTCTATTACACAATAATAATGAGTTTTGTTGTGTTAATATTACTGTGATAGAGATTAATATAGCAATATTACTGTGTTAAACTAGTATAGTTAATTTCACTGTATTTAATATAGTTAATATTACTGTCAATCACAACAATATTGTCGTTTAAATGAAAAAAAGATGTTACAAAAAGAAAGAAGAGAAAAAAAATTGAAAAAGTCAACGCCGGAGACCGGTGGCGAAAAAATTAAAAAAAGAAAAAAAATCAAAGCCGGAAACCGGCGAAAAAATTCGGAAGAAAAAAAAAAAGAAGGTCAACACCGGAGACCGGCGGTCAACGGTGGTAATGGACAAAATTGTCCATAAAAATGTGTTTTGGGTCAAAATTGAATAATTTGTGAAATTTTGGGTCAAATTGAGGTTAAATTAAATTAAAAGATGAAATTGGAGCATATGAAAGTATGAGTGGCTATTTTAGTCTTTTACAAAAATCTGGACCATGTGTCGATTTTTTTGTAAAGGAGTTTATTTTTTGGATCTCTTTATGAATAAGTATCCATTGATTGGCTTATTTGTAAAGTGCCAATTACAAAATGAACGAGGTATGCACAAGGATATAATTAGCCGGGTGGTTAGTTATATGGCGGCCGATATATGCAAGCCCATTTTTTTATTAGTTCAAGACCTCCAACATAAAAATATTAATTTACCCTTTTTGAAATTCAAAATCAAATAAAAAACATAAATCATAAAAAAAAAAATCGGCGTTACAACGCTGATTTTGACTTGAAAAGTCGGCGTTGTGTCACCGATTTGGTTAACAAAAATCGGCATCGTGACGCCGATTTTCGTGTACAAAATCGGTCCGGATAAACCGATTTGGGAATTCAACGAAAACACACAAAAAAATCAATTTCAATCTCAATTTTTTTTCTAAAATCGGCTAAAGCATTGTAACCCAACAAGAAGTAAGCATAGATTAATGTTCCTCCACGCATATTTATCAAGAATCGATGCTCGATCAATATTTTTGAATTGACAAACAAAAGTTTAGTAAAAAACACTTGTTGGTGGTGGTGGGGTGGTCGTCGCCGGCGCGGTGGAGGTGGTGCGGTGGGTAGGTCGCTGGTCGTCGCTGGCACGGTGGAATTCTCGCTGGTCGGTGTCTCGGCGGTCTGGTGGCGGCAGTTGTGAGTTTTTTCTATTTTTTTTGTTTATTATTTTTTTATTTTTTGGTTTTGAAAAAATAAAAATATAGTTTGTTTGTATTTGGGTATTATTTATTGATAAGGGTATATTCGTCCTATTTTTTTGATGTAATAAAATTAAATTAATTTACGAGCTTGAACTAAAAAAATCATTTATGTTGGTTTTTGAACTAATAAAAAAAATGGGCTTGCATATATGAGCCGCGTAGTTATATTCCTAATTTCTCCCATTCGCGTTTCCACGTGTCCTAGGAATTTTCTTCGAAAACGTCCCTCCCTCTCTTTTGGCCAACACCGTCGCCCGCCCCCAACCCCCGTCCCACCCAAGTCTCGCCCTCATTGTCTGCCGACCTCCGCCGCTATTTTACCTCCGAATTATGGAAGAAAACACACCCAATCCCGGCGACGTCAGTTTGAAAGAAGCCGTGAGTTCGATTTGTTTGGTTCTTTATGTATTGGAATTATTTATAGTTTCGCACTTTCCATTCCGATACTACGTTACATCCATCTGAAACTTCCCATTCGCTGGGCCAATTTTGCAATTTAGGGCTTCTTATTAAGCTCTCTGTTGCGTCGTTTTGAAGGATGTTATTTTCTAAATCAATTTCTTTTTTGTATGGATTTTTAGGTCAAACTTGTTTAATTATTATTAATTTGTTTTTCAATTTTTTGTTCACGATCACGGCTGTCCGGAACGGGCAAATTATAATAAAATTGCGAAAAAATATAATTAATGTCAAATAAGTTTTAATATTACTATTACACTAGAATATATACAAATTATTATCAAAACTCTAATCTTAATCTTAGAACAATTCTTTAAACATTGAGTAGTAGAAATAGGGGGTGAAATTGTAAGTTATGAAATTATCTCTTTAATTTAAGAGAAATAAAAAACAATAAGGACTAGATTGCAAATTTTGAAAACTTAAAAAACTTTTGACCCATATTTTGGTGTCTATCAGACCACGAACCAGGCCTCCCAGTCTTTCTTTTTCCCTTTTTCTTTTTTCCTTTTTTTTTTTTTTTTTTATCAGATTTTTCTCCCGTTCCGTTCCGGCCGTTCTTCCAGCCGTTCTGTGGTTCCGTCTCGGCCGTCCCGCCGTTATCCCGGTGTTCCGGCGCGTTAAAGTGCAAAAATTGGTTTGGTTAGGGATTCCGGAATCCGACCGTTCCGGCGAACCCTGGGATCAACAGAGATGCGCATTGGGCCATTGGCTGGATATTCCAGGTAATTGACGATTTTTCATTGGAATAAAATAAACATTCAGTTTGCTGGATTTCGTTTCAAATCCGATGTTTCTGGGAATCCATTAATTCAGATATGAGTGTTTATGGATGCATACAATACAAGATCAATATTCAGTTTTCACTTCATTTATTTACATTTAGTCTAGTATCGACATATGCTTGTGTATCGAATATACGATGAATGTGTTTTTTAGTAAACGATCATTGTGGTTAAGCAGAGCTATAATTTTGTTGTTGACAAATATCGAATATACAATAGGTCTGGCCTATGCCCACTTTTTCAGAGCTAAGCGAGACATTTCTCTCTCCCGTTGCCAAAATCGTAATTGTGCATTGCCTGTGTGAAATGAAACTTGAAAAGAAAGCCCAGCTCCAGGTTACGTCGTTCCCCTTTTTTTATGTAATAATTATTTGAGTGCCCGATCCGATCATCTGAGTAGTACTTTACTACTCAATATCTGATAAGATTCTATATATGAATGAACTTGGGGCAGACATAGTGATAGCATTACCATATTGCAATCTACGGATTAGTTATGTATTATTGTAATTTTGAAATTCCATAAACAATTATCCATTATTAAATAGGGGCTTCTAAGCAATGTATTTTAGTGTTTTCTTCTTAATACATATACTAGTGTTTCTCCACAAATGTTCATAAAAGGGAGCTTCTCTCAAGGTATGAATCATAGATATTTTCATCACAATAATTCTTGATCCGGAATAATTTAGGATCCAAGTAACGGAGGTGAATTTTTTATACTGCGGTCATATGCACGAGCTAGCACTGTAATGATGCATGATATAGAGACTTTATCCCAACTTAATTAGCGGCGATAAAGATGAAGGAACACCTTTACTCATTGATATGACTAAAATTTAAAAAACGCAAATTTGTACTGTGTACATCGCCAATATTAAAGTTGTAGGCCGTATAAAGATACCCTTTGCGCCTTCAACGAAATCGTAGTTAATGAAGGTTCTTTTTAGTCAAAGTTACTGTATGCGGTCTGCACCTTCGAATCTTGTATTGCATCCAATTAAGGTGCAAGCTGTACATGTAGATTTTACATTTCAGCAAGCATGTATTTTTGTTAATAAAGTCTATTTGAAGCTGACATGTTTGCTGCCATTGAAAAGCATTGAATTGTTCAATTATGTATTATATCGTCAAATGAATGATTTTAGTAATAAATTTAGTTATCTGTTTTTTCAACAAATATGAGTTCATTTTTTTCAGAAGACTATTTCTATTTCTACATCTGTTTTTCCTCGGTTTCTGCCATTTCTTTTCATTTAGAGGTTTCTTCAAATTTCTTAATAAAAATGGAATTGATTCATCATTCTACTCTAATCGATTCAAGAATGCGAGGAGGAACTAAGGCTACTTCAGTAACACAGTTGAAACTAAAGATTCCACTGAAAATTTTCACAACACCTAATTAATTTTTGTGAGTATTTGTGTCGAGTAAATCTTAGTTGTCATGTCTTCATTCGTGAGTTATAGGGCAGGATTTATGTCAACGAAAATAAAGACTTAAACATTTGTGGGATAAAAACCACGGATTTAAAAGTACAAATTGGTTTATTATATTTGTACATGAGCTGTGTTGACGGACTTACTAATCCTGATCCCTGAAACGAGCGATAATGTCACATCAGGAAAATTAGATTAATATCCATAAGAATATATATATATATATATATATATATATATATATATATATATATATATATATATATATATATATATATAAACACGGAAATTAAAAGAATTTATCACCAATTGCATTCCTGATTTGTCATGCAGTGTGGTATCAATGCCTGGTGTCTCAACTGCTTATGGAGAAGATCAAGGATGAGTTGAGCACTATATCTGAAACAAGAAAGCATTTTATCAGTGCAAGCTTCTATGGGTAAAACCTTCATATCTATTTATTTATTGTTCTGTCGTGTCTTTTATCTTCCCAAACAGGAAAGCATTTTTCTTATATATTGTAGATTTTTGCAGGATCTCAAATTAAAACAATTAAGCCTAAACGGTACATTCTTTGATTAATACACACACCCAGTTGACGAGGACAATGAGATCAAGTTCCTCCATACGGTGCACGGTATCACTCAATAATAAATTCTATCTTAAATATATATCTTGTGTTTGGATTACATAATACAAATAATTGTAATTAGTTGTAATGGCTTTTTTCTTTTTTTCTAAATCTCGGGGCAATTTGGATATTGCACATTCTTTGTTAGGTTTTGTAGCTAACGGGCTAGTTTGAGGGGGCATGTAATTTCACAAACAAGAAGGGTTTTTTTTTTTTTAATTTAGGCATAATTCAAGGGACTTATTTGTAATTTAATACACAAATTTGTATAAATAGGCTTGAAATTACAGTGGTAGTAGTAACCCTAGAAAACAAATGGTCATATCCTCTCTCGCCGCCACCACCATAAGCCCTCATTTCAGAAGTTGACGCACGAAATTTTCCTTATAGCTTTGCCTCTTTCAATTGGCACCGTTTCAATCCGCCTCATATTTTGGTAATTTAATATTTTTCTCATTCTAGATTTTCTGTGATTTGGTATTTGAATTATGTTTGTCGAGTTTCATTTTCGATTTTGTCAGATTATTATTAGTGCATGATACAAGTACAATTATTTTTTTAGTTTAGTATTGATCCGCCGTTTACTTGTTGTGGTGTTGTTGATCCACCATTTTCAGAAATAAAAAGTGTGAAAAAAGAAGTCTATTTTGTTTGGAAATTAAAAAAAAATGTAGAAATTGCATATAGAACATATGTATGTCTAAAATAATAACACTTGATCCTGTTCCTAACTAATTTGGCACCTCCAAAATTCAGATCTGATGGAATAGAATACTAATTTGGCCCGTTCTCCTCTCATCTATTAGTTTTTGCCGTATCGACATTTGATTTTATCTGTATTACTTGATTGATTTATTATTTTGATTGTTTGCGTTTTTGTTTCTGTGGTTTTGCCAATTTGTTGAGCTGTGATTGATGTAAATTCATTGCTAGATGTTAATAGGGCATTTTTATGGTATAGTTTCTAGATTTTTTTTTTGATTCCCGATGTTAAATCTGGTGTTTTTCTGTAGTATGTTCTTTTTAAAAATTCTTAAAATGTAATCTTATAATTTACTCCTGAATTGCTGTAAGATATCTTTTTAAATCATTTGTATTATTTGTTCTGATGATATTACTAAAAAAAATGAAGTTTAGTAATATTGCTGTTGAAATACAACGATACTTTCGAAAACGCCAAGTTGAAGTTTCAAGTTATGGATAATTTCTTTTTATATGTTATATTATTTTTGAAAACTCTTACTCAAGTCTTCACTTATTTGCAGATTCCATCGGAGAGATATAAAGCTCTCAGGTCATGGAAGACAGCAGCAATGGACTTTCATTCTTCAAGTTTTTCTTACCGCGAAGTAGCTCAAAACATTTGGTAATTTCATCACTCTTTTATTTGCGTGAAGTTCACGTGGTTTTGTGTTTTTGCTGTGCCTTACCTTTTTTTTTCTTTTTTCTTTTTTCTATTATTATTAATTTTATCAAGTGTGTGCTTGTTTTTAATCAACTTTAGTATTGTTTTGGGTTGAAAATCATCCTTATCACCTTGTAACCTAGAGGAAGAAATTTGAAGGAAACAAAAGCTTTAATTTAAATTGAGTTGGTTTAGTTAATCATTTTAGTTTTTTGTGTATGTAAATGTAGCTAATCGATGATTTATCTGACAGTAATTGTATAAAAAGCAAGGTTTTAAAAAAAGGCATTTTTTTTTAATTTACTTTTATTTTTTAACATTCCTGGCATACATCATTAGTTCTTTAACAATAACAGTTAACATAAACAAAATAAAGCATAAACTCATATTTTTTTTATTAAAATCCCAACTTTTATTTTGAATTATAAAAAAAAAAAAAACCCCATTTTTGACCGATTTTTGCCACCGAGTTTGACCCGCCTTAAAGGTCCGCTTCAAACCGCCTCACAGGCAAAAAACCAAATTTTCAAACCTTTACACTAAAATCGTAAAGGTTTGGTACCGCCTCCGCCTCGGAGACCGATTAATCGGCCGCCTCGGCCGATTTTTAGAACACTGATAAAAAGAAAGAACTAGTATGTTATGTTATATCCTAATATTTGGTGTCCATGGCTAAGAAAAAACTGATTTATGTTCTTGTCATAGGAAATTCCTTCGGCCTTCACCTTATCAATGCAAGGAGATTGGCCAGAAAACATAGTCCTTCATGACAGGTATAATAATTCATGGCAAGTGAAGGTGGGGCAACATCGGGATAAGTTTTACTTGAGAGATGGTTGGGAAAAATTTGTTGAAGATAATTCTATCGAAGGAGGGGATGTAATATTTTTTGAATATTTTGGTAATGGCGTATTTGAAACCAAAATCCATGACTCAACCGCTTGTGAAAAGAAACGACTTGGAGCTCGTAAGTCTTCTTTTAAACAGCAAAAGAAGGTTCCGAATGACACTTACGCGCTTGAGTGGGAGAATACGCGTGATGAGGTGGCGGAGGAAATTCCTACCAACGACTATGCTCCACACAGGAAAGACGACTACAGTTGTAAGTTTTTTCTTTTCTTTTTTTTTTTTTTTTTTCAATTTTCTTGCGAAGTTAATGTAGTCGAATTCATTTTTATTTAATTAGTTGCGTTACCTTCGATTGGTTTCATTGCAGCTGATGAGAGGGAAAAAGCCACTCGAACTAGGAGAGTTTCTGATTTATATAGGGGAGAGGCTTTCCAATCTGGATTTGTGCAGCCAAAACCTCATTTTGCAAGAAAAATCAGCTCAAAGCGTAAGCGTCAACTGGTAAGGTTTATTATGTCAGTCTATCTTATCGACAAGATTCAATGTTTGTGTATATATATTTCTTTTTAGGCTTAATTCCACTTTGCACTCTTGAAATATACCATTTTGGCACTTTGCACCCTCGAGACAATGTAATAGCACTTTGCACCCTCGAAACACAATATATCATGCATAATGCACTCCACATGAGTTTTTAAAGCTAATAAAGGTAATTTAATATTTTTAGTGGTATTTAAAAATTATATTTTTTATCACAAAAAAATATTTTACGAAAAAAACTCTTCAGCTATTTCTTTATCAAGTTGTCTGAAAATCACATTTTCTTCCAAATATTTCTACCTAATATTTCCACCAATTACAATAAAAGATCTATCAATTGAATAATTTAGTAATTAAAGTTTATTTGATTTTATTTTGTAAGAAAATATATATATTTTTTCAATTATCCGGTGTGATTGTTTTTTTTTGCACTTTGTGAGCTCGAAATTAGGTTGGAGGTTGAAGAAAATAACAATTTAATTTGTTATTTTTCACCCCGGAATAAAAATCAATAAACAATGAATTATCCTTTGCGTTGTGAATGATTTATTGTGTTTTGAGGGTGTAAAGTGCTATTATTATCTTCAAGGGTGCAAAGTGCCAAAAGACTCCATTTCAAGGGTGCAAAGTGGGATTAAGCCTTTCTTTTTTAATTGATATATATATTTTTGACACCCTCTAGCTGGGACTGCAAACCAAACTTGATAGGGTGCACTGCCCTTAGTACACATTAAGTCTGACCACCCGTTCGGCTAGTATTTTCCCGGCATATACATAAAAAAATTACGTTTTCATCTTTTATCTAAAATTTGAAATCAATTGAAGTTTAGACCCGTTTGTTACCATATGGTGCATATTTTATTAGTATTCATTTTACTTGTGATGTATTGATCTATAATATTAAAAGAACACTTGAGCTGTGAATCAAACTTAATTGCAATTGCGACATGATTTTTATAAATGTCTACAGTTAAGAAATTAAGATCAGAAAACAATAGATCAAGGATGTGAGGCAAGTTTCATTTACAATTCGTCATTTGATGTTCGTTCACATGGAAAACATTTTATATGACCTAATCGTATGTCAGTGTGTGTGTGTGTCATTTCCTTGAATAATGGATAAGATAATGTTCGTACTTATTGATCAAAACATATTTATGCTCTTGTGACAGAGACTTCCTTCGGCCTTTACCTTATCGGTGCAAGGAGCTTTGCCCGAAAGAGTATTCTTTCAAGATAGATATGAAAACACATGGCAAGTGAAGGTGGAGAAAGTTCGAAGTAAGTTGTACTTTGGAGATGGTTGGACAGATTTTGTTGAAGATAATGGTATTCGAGTTGGGCATATCGTCTTTTTTGAATACTCTGGTAATGGCTTATTCAAAACCAAAATCCATGATTCAACCGCTTGTAAGAAGAAAAGATTTGGAGCTTGCAAGGCTGAAAAACACCGAAAGAAAGCTGTGAATGAAGAAAGAGAGGCGCCAAAATATATTGAAGAAAACCGTGAAATTAAAATGGAGAATGAAGGTAATGATGTTGATGATAATTATGAGTTTAACTATGATAATATGGCTGATGACGTGGAGGAGGAGATTCCTACTAATGACCGTGCTCCGGAGATGGAACAAGAGACCACTAGTAAGTTTTTTTTTTTTTTTTCTTCTCAATTTGCTTGCAAAATTAACATATATGAATTAAAATTTATTTAATTAGTTGTGTTACCTTCATTTTGTTTTTTACTGCAGCTGGTGAGAAGAAAAAACGCACTCGAACTAGGAGAGTTACTGATATATATGGTAGAGAAATTTTCAAAGCTGGATTGATGGCTGTGCCAGTCAACCCTTATTTTGTAACAAAAATCAACACAAAGCGCAAGGGTGAACTGGTAAGTATTGTTACGTCAGTTCATCTTTTTGACAAGATTCAATATTTGGAATTTAAAGAAAAGAAGAAAAAAAAAAGAATTAAAAAAAAAAAAAGTAAATCAATTTTGATATATGTTTTTGACATTAGTGTATGTTTGTAATGATAGTATATCCCGAAGGAAGTGGTGCGTGACAACATACTGGACCTTCCGGAAGAGATAGTGATGATTGATCCGCACGGGAGGACGTGGACCGCAAAGGGCAAGATATGGAAAGATGGAAGGAGATATTACACAAGAGGGTGGAGAAGACTTTGCCAAAGAAACTTCGTTGAAGACGAAGATTTATGTATTTGCGAGTTCATAGAAACAGGTCAATCGCTTATTATGGATGTTAGTTTCGTTCGCGAGGAGGCTTACAACTACTACTAGTCTGAGGTTGATGTTGGCGGTTTCTGCAGGTAAGATCACAGTATTATGTATGTTAGACTTTTGCCTTGGTTTTAATGATGGTTTATGTACATCACTAGATATTTTCGTCGTAAAATTATTCGATTCGGATTCATTGGATTTATTATTGTGATTTTCTTTTTTTTTTTTTTTTTTTTTTTTAAGTAACAACTGAAGATGGGAATATTATTGTGGATTTGAAATCATTTAACATTTTCTTTTGGACATGTGGAGAAAATGATCATTTGGCCATGCCAATAAATTTCATATTTGAAAATTATATACCACACACAATATATATATATATATATATATATATATATATATATATATATATATATAACTAATGTGTGTTTTCCTTATAAAGAATAGGGCAAATTACGGACATCCCCTTGAGTTATGGTCAAATTTCGAAAACCGCTCTCATGTTTGGGTAATTACAGCCACCCATCAACTATGTATTATCTTACGAAAGTACCCCTCTAGAGGTAAATTTAGGGATGTCAAATCGGTAAAACCGAACTGAAATTTCGGTACGCCAACATTTCATACCGTTTACTGAACTAAATATACGATTTGTTTCGGTAAATAACCGAATTACATAAATCTTATGTAAAAATATTTAAAAGGAGGGGGTGTCTGCAATTACCGAAACAAGAGTTTTTTTTTTCTTCGTAATTTGCCCTAAATAATATTTATGATCAATCTACTCCATGGGAAGGCAAATGGTTGTGCAATGGTGTAGTAGGTTTTGTACAAGTTTTAGTGACTTGATCAGCATCACATGTATTGAACTCTCTGAAATTAGCGACCCTCCCCAATTCTTCAACCTCATCGATAACAAGATCAAGCCTCGCCACAGCCTCCACCAGCAACGAAGCAAAGGCGGCAAACGGAAGCGCTTCGGAGAACTCTAGGCTTGTGATCATAGCAATCTTGCTTAAAGTCGGCCGAAGAGAATCATTATTATTGGCTTGTTCCTTAGCGGCCCTTTTCGACTTCCATTGTAGGAGTGCGGATGAATCGGTTTTGACACTTGCCAACGAGACTCCTCCTCCTCTGGTGGTGGTGGAGGACTTGTGGGTGACGGCGGCAAAGGTTAGCATGTTCTTGGTGGCGGTGTTGGGGCCGAGGAAGAGTCTTGGCTGGGATTTGAGGGCGGCGTCGAGGTCTTGTAGGGCTTCGTGGAGGTGGTCGGAGATGATCTCCGGCGAGCACTGGCGGCGGTTTTGTATGCTCTCGGATAGTTCTATTAGTGCTTTCGATACTTCTCCGGCGACTCGGATGCACGGATCTTTGAAAAGAGCTCGAACCGACCGTGGAGTCTGAAATATTAGTAATGTTGGGCATTTCTTGTAAAATGAATTCTAAATTCTTAATTTGTGTTCGTCTACCTTAACCGACACTTGAAAAATGGAGGGAGTAATATATAAAACGGTTATCTTCGTAAAAAGATTATTTATCTTAGAGTGTGACCTGAATTTGAGTTTGAAGGCATCCATGTAGAGCGACGACTGTGTATCCGAAACGTCGGAGAACTTCACCCAACTTTACATAGTGCTGCCATGGCAACCTGTAACAGTACCTTGAATGGCATGGCTCCCAACTTGCATGCATTGCCTGCCAATATATATATATATATATATATATATATATATATATATATATATATGTTAATCTTTTTATCAGGATTAAATTAAGAAAAACAAACCAGAAATATTTAATGTTCATGATTCTTATTTCTTACCAAGGTCTCGTCACTGGATTTAGAGTCAAGAACAGCCTTATACCCCTTATAAATAGGATCCTCTAATGTTGTATCTTTGGCTGCTTTTCGGTCTTCGTTGCTAAAGTACTCATTTACGCACGCTGCAATTAATTCGAAAAATCTAATTATAAGTTCTTTCGAGAAATATGTTACATCTGGTAAAATACAATAGTTAGCAGATTTACGCGCAATTGCATGTATGCATATGCATTGAATAGACCTTCCTATGTGTGGATCAACTCAGTATTGTATTTATTAAGAAAAATCAAGATATATAGAAACTTAGATGAAATTTAGAGCATATTTTGCTAAGCTTATAAATTCTTAAAAATATATTATAAAACGTTTAAGAGCTTTCAAGTTTGTTTTAAAAAAAAATAAGCTGTTAAAATCAAAAGATCTTAATTTGGTTAAGAACTTATCAGCTTTTAAACTGTTTCTAAAAGTTCCGTATCCAAACATCTTAAAATTTAATCTTTAAAATAAGATATAAGAGCTTATCAGCTTCTAAAACATTTTATCAGGTGTAGGAACTTATAAGATGTTTTGATTAAGTTTGGTTTAACGGACCCTTAATGATTTTAGTATGATTATAACTAATTAAGCAAAAGTTATGTTACTAAGGTGGTGTTTGCAAACGCTTTTCCAAAGTGATTATGAGCTTTTTAATGTTTAAAAAAGAACTGATTTTGAACCAACAAAAACTCATAATCACTTGGAAAAGCGTTTGCAATCACCACCTAAGAGGGAGTTTGGCTAAGCTTATCAACTTCTAAAAACGGCTTATAAGATGTTTAGAGCTTATAAGCTCTTAAAAAAAAATTGGTAACTCTTTTCGAAAAGATCTTAATTTTTTTTTTAAATAATTAAGCTGCTGGAGAGCTTTTAAGTTTTTTTTTAAATATCTCTACCTCACCATTTTATTTAAAATGAAGTAAAAGTAGCTTATAAGTTGATTATCCAAAAACTCTAAAAATAATACGTAACAACTTAATTAGCAGCTTTTAAAACAACTTATCGCTGTTTAAAATAAGTTTAGCTAGCCAAAAACCCTCCAAAATAATTTATATGTTACCTTCAATTGAAAATGCCAATCCCTCAAGCTTAGAGATTGTGGAATGATGAAGGTCTTGGCCTGACCAATTGGGGAAGACAATAAGGCTCATAAGGAGACATATTCCACATCCTATGGCTATCATATAAAACCGTTCTTGCGCTATCTTAAGCACGTTATGTATTCGATAACTTGACACGATTATCAAATTGAATGTCAACAGAAATATCACTACTCCGTACTCGTAGTTCTTCTTTATGTACGGAAAAAATCTCATGTATGTTGCGGCACTTCCTAAATATCATAATATAGAAAATTCAATTCATTAGTACCTTACTACACTAATATATAATCATCAAAATAAAAATTTAAAAAATAAATAAAAAAATAATCCTTAACAATGGAATTAGGGTTAGTTTGTACGTACCGATAACAAAAACTGCAGTCCCGATGAAGATAGCGCGGAATATGTGAGAAGATTCTTCGGCGATGTATTGAATCAAGAAAGCAAGTGATCCAGCTAGCAAAGTGCCAATCCCTCTGTTTAAGCCTTTGCATAATGTTGCCCCTAATAGTTTTATTAGTGGAGATCAAATATTTTTTAGTGAAAAATAAAAATGAAAAAACGAAAACTAAAAATTAAACGAATTTGAGTAAAGTTGCTGACCAGCAGTGAACTCGAGCACAACGACAACAGTCATGACAGCCCAAATGGCGTTCTGACCGATACCTTGGAATAACGGCTCCAAAAGATACAACAAAGAAACTAATGTCAAAGAAAACCCTACTTTGAGTGAGTGGAAAACCCGAGACGAATCTTCTTGCCCTACCCGACAAATTGTCATCCATGTAGATATTGCTAATTTTTTAAATTTTTGGACGAAAAAAATCGAACGCTTCTTTATGATGTCGGTTTTGTCTGTCCAGTCCCAGCAGGGGCTTTCCCCAGCTATCCTCATTGCAATTCCAGAGTACATAATTATTGTAAATTGTTTAAACAAAAAAGATAGTTTATATATATATATATATATATATATATATATATATATATATATATATATATATATAGGAAAATGTGGTGATGTTTATGTGTTCACATGGTTTGCTTTAATTTAATTAAACTTTTTGGGTGATATTCACAGGCTCTCCGTTTAGGCAATTAATTAGGGATGCATGGTGTGATTTTTGTCAAACTGCAACCAAATTATTTAAAAATATATATATTAATTGCAGCAGCTTGGGCAAGTTTACTAACTTGTCAGAAGGTAGTTGTTTGTGGTGCTTCCTGATTCTTGTGTTCTATTTCTCTCTCACTTCACCAGCTTTCATTAAGTCAACCAAAAAGTGACACAAAAAATAAAAAAAGAATAAAAAAAAATTAAAAAGGAAAATCTAAATAACACTCTTTTCGTATATACTACAAAAGGGTACGTGCATCGCACGTATTTACATAATTTATAATCGTAATTTATAATAAGCTCATCAATGTGTACTTGTTCATAAAGATGTCCAGATAATAAATTCTTTCACAAAAAAGTTTACATATGGTCCACATATGATGTTTGTAAAAACTCAAATAGCCCCTCATATTTTAATATATAAAATGCTCCAATTTCACCCTCTAATTTATCTAACATCAATTTGACCCCAAATTTCACAAATTATTCAATTTTGACCCAAAACACATTTTTATGGACAATTTCGTCCTTTACCGCCGTTGACCGCCAGTCTCCGCATTGACTTTTTTTTTTCTTTTGATTTTTTTTCTTTAACATCTTTTTACCCCGTTTAAACAACAATACTATTGTGGTTGACAATAATATTAACTATATTACTAACAGAGTAAAATTAACTATACTACAGTTTAACACAATAATATTGTTATATTAATCTCTAACACAATAATATTAACACAACAAAAGTCAGTATTATTGTGTAATAGAGTAATATTAAAAGGACAAAAGAATTAATATTACTGTGATTGACAGTAATATTACTATAACAACAGTAATATTACGGTCAACCACAATAATATTATTGTGTTTACTGTAATATTACAATAATAAACAATAATATTATTACCTTACTCCGTGAATAACTCAAACAAAACAAAAAAACTCCAAAAAAAAATAATATTGATGTGGTTGACAGTAATATTATTAGGTTTACAGTTATTTTACTGTCAACGACAGTAATATAATTACATTGACTTGTCAACAAATCAAACAAAATTAAAAAAATATATAATAATAATAAGGGAAAATGAGGGATAAACCCCTCAATACACAAAATAATAGAGTCCAGGCCCATTTTAATATTCACTATTTGTAAAGAAATCTAAAAGTAACATTATGAATTGTGAGACCCCCCTCACGTGTTTATTATTCCAATTTTGTCCTTTCTTCTCCCATTTTTTTTCACTATTCCCCCTCTTTTTTCTCAACCGCCCCTTTCTTTCTCTCTCATCCCCCTCTTTTTCTCTCTCCTCCCCCTCTTTTTATATTTTTTTTACGTATCTTTTTTCCTATTTTCTTTCATTCACTTTCTCTCTCCTCCTCTCTCTCTCTTTCCTCTCTTTCCTGATGGTCTCTTTCAATTTCTCTTTTCTTTTCTTTCTCTCGAATCATTTGCTCTGGCTCTCTTCTCTACTAAAATCGACTTGTATATCTTCTCTACCAAAATTGACGGATCCATAACCGCCGCATCTTCATGGCTACCATTGGTTCACCCGGTCTAGTAACAATGAAACCTTCAGATCTGTTTTCTGACGAAGCAGCATCCGCCGCCACTCTTTCTTAACGCACCCCCCGTCGCTGATTTTCTAACTCAAAAATCTCCGCCGCTAGAGTCTTGCATTATTGTCTCGGAGACTTATGCTCATTTCATTGGCTCAGATCTATTTTTTCAAGAAAAATTACGGCTAGTGATAGTTGTATTGTGGAAATTTATTTTTTAGGGAAATTGAATTTACAGGGAAGAAATCCATATGCTTCAGACTATTGAGATCATTTGGGACTTTGGTCGTAATTGTGAAAGTGTTGGAATTACGTACCGATGGATAAATAATTTAACGGTGGTCTATTTTGGTCATAAAATTATGGTACATAAATGATCAGTGACTACTATAAATTAGTAGTTAACTATCACAATTTATAGCTAACTATTAAATTTTATAGTTAACTTTCACAATTTTGTAGTTGACTGACACAATTTTATAGCCAACTAGTACAATATTATAGTTGAGATTGTTGGACTTTGGGCGTAAATGTGAAAGTGTTGGAATTACTTGTCGAATGGTTGAATAATTTGAGGGTGGTGAGTTTTGGTCTTAAAATTATGGTATATAAATGATTATTGACTGCTATAATTTAGTATTTAACTATGACAATTTATAGCTAACTATTAAAATTTCGTAGTTAACTTTCACTATTTTGTAGTTGACCGACACAATTTTATAGCAAACTTGTAAAATATTATAGTTGACTACTAAAGTCGGTTGTTAAATTCTTTAATTTAGTTGTTCACTAATATTTCGTAGATCTTTTCCATAAAAAAAAGGTAAAAGTAAAAACAGATGGAAATATAATTAAAAGGATTAAAATAATTAAAGAAGAGAGAGAGAGTTGGTTGACCGATCCTATTTAAAGGGAGGGGGGTCTAGTTCAAAAGAAAAATGTAGGGATAGTATTGGAATACGTAAAGTGGAGGGGGGTTACTCCTAATAATAATAATGATAGGAATAATAATAATAATAATAATAATAATAATAATAATAATAATAATAATAATAATAATAATAATAATAATAATAATAATAATAATAATAATAATAATAATAATAATAATAATAATAATAATAATAATAATAATAATATTGTCGTTGCTGTAATTGTACAATTACATAAATGTATTGTCAACGGCAATACAATTACGTTAATGTACTGCCAGTGACAATATAATTACGTTAATTTACTATCAGTGACAGTATAATTACCGTTAATGACAGCACAATTACGGTCAACATTAAGCGGCAGGCGTAAAAAAAATAAAAAAGAAAAAAAACACTAAAAAAAGTCAACGCCGAAGACCAGCGGTCAGCGCCGGAATCCGGCGGCGGAAGAAACACACTTAAAAAAAAATCGAAAAGTCAACGCCGACGACAAAAAAATAATTTTTGAAGTTTAAAAAAAAATCAAAATTGGATTTTTGTGGTAAAAATTAATTAAATTGGGCTTACAATTAAGAATTGAGTGTAAAGGGTTGGGCGTAATTTTGTCCTGTACATGAGTTTTTCCTTTATTTATAATAAATATTAAAGGGATGTGTTTATTGGCAAAAGAGATATAGCAACTTAAAATAATAAAAATAATTGGTTAGGGACTTGTGCACAAAAACCCCAATTTACAATATTAAATATGTGATTTAATATTTTATATAGAAATATGTCTAATTCAATTTTAATTAATGCAAGTTAAAAAAATTATAATTAAATGTAGATTCTGTAACCCTAATATGTTACTAATAACTTAATTTTCTAATATTTGGGTAGAACAACATAGTTTCATAATTTATTCCTCCATTGTTTTCTTAAAAAGAATAAACCCACCTTGGGTAAATCAAAATAATTACACAATTCATGTATCCCTTCTTTTTAAGTAGCATGTCTTTTCCTTTTGGAATTTGACCACACCATACCCAGTGGCAAGTCCAGGAATGTGATACAAATGGGCACAGGGATAGTGCCCGCAGACAAAATTAGGATTTTTTTGTGACAAAATAAAAAAAATAGGAAAAAAAAAAGAAGAAAAAGGGGGCTTTTTTTTGCATAATTTTGAATTTTAGGAGGACTAATTAATAATAATTGGGTTTTTTGCATTAATTTGGATTTTGGGTGGACTAATTAATAAATATTGGGTAGACTTAATAAATATATAGGTATAATATGGTGAAAATTTGTAATTTAAGGGTAGGCTTGAGTCCACCCTCCCAAAGGGCCGGGTCACTACAAGAAATTGTCAAATGCAACAATATGTTTTGTTGCCAAAAAACTTTAATTTCGTTGCCAAAGAGTCATATAATTGTTGGGTCAAACTCATGACTAGCCCAACAGGCTAACCCGCTTAATAAATGTCAAATATATAGTAAGTGTCGAACTCTGATTTATTTGAAGTTAGAGACCTTCAAACCGCTGGGGCAACACTACATTTGTGTAAACTGACTCAAAATAAATTTATAAAACTAAATAGACAAGGTCAAATAATTAAAATAACTACATAAATAAATAATATGTCATAACAAATAATTTACTATATGTATTTTATGTTAAAAAAAATTAATTTACAATAAAATTTAATTATAAATATAACATCTACCATTAACTCCCCACTATTAATAAATGTATATATAGTAAATTTTTAAAATCATATCAACAATACTTAACAAAAAAAATGCATGAGTTAATGTAATTAATATAAACAAATAAGATTTTTCTTTATCATATCTTATGTTATATATACATAAAATTAAAATCAAGAAAAAAAGTTGGTTTTTAAATTTACAACGATTATATTTTGTTGTCAAATCACTTGGAGCATTTACAACAAAATATTTCGTTGTCTTTCGTCACTTATCCACAGCAAAATAAATTTGTTGCCGTTGTAAATGTATTTACTACAATTTTATATAGTAGCAAAAAAGAAATACTCTTTTGCAACAACAAACTTGTCGTCTTACATTAAATTCGTTGTAAAATATATACGATACTATTCACAACAATATGTTTCGCTGCCTATGAGATTCAAAGGCAACAAAAATATATTGTTACAAAAACATTATTCTTTAGCCACAAATACTATATTTCGTTACCAAAATATAACTATTGGCAACGAATTAATTTCATTGATAAAGAAACCGTTCTCTATTTTGCATTTTCTTGTAGTGGGTGGACTCGCCCCTGACCCTACCCTTGGTTCCTTCGGTGTCTT